AAAACTATACTCCTTTAAGGGATCAGTGTCACCAAGATTTGGTAAACCAGCAAATAAAATCCTAAGATTATTCTAGCAAGCACAACGACTTACTGAAGCTCAATATCAAGAAAACAAAGATTCTCACCATTGGGCCAATTGGCAGCATCATAATGGATGATGAAAAGATTGAGACTGTTAACAGTTTTAGTTTGCTTGGCTCTTAGTACCAGCAGCAAGGAAATCAAGAGACGAATTGCACTGGGAAAGTCAGCTGTCAGGGACCTCTCCAGAGCAATGAAGAGTAATGACATCAGGCTGGAGACTAAGGTGAACCTCATAGAGGCCATAGTCTTTGCAACTGCGTCCTATATGTCAGAGAGCTGGACAATGACTAGGGATGATAGAGAACTGATGCCTTTGAGCTGTGGTGCTGGAGAAGAGTGTTGAATATACCATGGAGTGCTGGAGAACAAACAGGTTTGTCCTACAGAGGGTGAAACCAGGTTGCTCCTTGGAGGCAAGGATTCTGAAGCTTCGTCTGACATACTTTGGACATGTTACAAGAAGGGACCAGTCCCTGGAGAAAGACGTCATGCTTGGGAGGGTGGAGGGACAGCACGGGAGAGGAAGACCCTCGATGAGATGGATCGATTCAGTGACTGGGGTTATAGGGTAGGTGTGTCAGAGACAGTGTGGCTGGCACAGGATAAAGCAGGGATTAGGACTCTTGAACACAGGGTCGCTATGAGTCGCAGGAGACTCGATGGCACATACAACAACAGCAGCAGCACCAACATAAATGAATAAACATTGTATATAAAAAGATCTCTGTCCTTTCCAGCTTCAGACTGAACTTCTCATCCTCTGTACCTTACAGTATTAATCAGCACAGTTCTAGAAGTTAAGGCACTTCTTTCATCTATGCTTTGCAGGCTCTCGTAAAGATGCTATGTGTCTTTGCTGACCTCATATTTACACATGGAAAGCTGGATGATTCTAAACAGAGAAACAGCGTACAGATCAGAGACACAGAACCACAGAACCAGTTTCTCCTTAACAGTTTATCACTCTTTTTGAGTCTCTCTTTTCTCTCTAACCTAAGTATACCTACACAGTTACCATTACCTGGCCTGTTCAATGTCTAAATTAAAGACAAATAAAGCTCAGATATTTACACAAGCACTTGGCACTGCTGTCCACACTAAAGTCTGCTCATTTCTTAGGCACATGCTAAAAGGAAACCGAGTTTTTAGAAACGTTATCTGACAAAGTCGAAAATCTTTTCAAAAGCTCTATTTTCATGTAGTTCAATTTAAAAATGCATTTGAATGTTCACTCAGTTGACGGTTAAGCAGATTGAGGCTATAAAGTCATATATACATCTTGTTATAACTCATAAAAGAAATGCCATTTCACATAACCAATTTCCAGTATCAGATCTGGAAAGTTATTAGCTCTTCAGTTTATTACAATCTTATTTACTTTGTCCATGTGAAATGTATTAATATAAAATTGAAACCATATTTTATTAAGTTTAGAGTTGAAAGCAAAAATGTTCTTAAGCTAATGAACCAGAGAAAATCTTTCTTTCAACTTTTCATTTCTTCTTTCCCACCTT